TAGCCAAAGGTTATATGAAACGCTAGAGAGTGAGTGACCACATACAGTAGGTGCAGACCAACAGAAAATCAATGAGTGTTTTTAGCCACGTCGCGTCTGGTGCTGACACAGCACAGGGCTGCTGCTGCCGTTTTCACACATCTTTTCGAAAAAGTGTGGTCAATGCTAAAGCTGGTGTGCATGCATGTGCGTGTGTCTGATGGGAAGCCTTCGCAAAAGACACAAAACCATTGGCTCAAACAGGAAGCATTATGTACCCCCCCGTGTAAGCCCTGTGTGTGTCGGTTCTACATAGTCTACCTCCTGAAACTCTGCTTCACACATCCTTCCTGTCCGATTATTTTAAGCTCTGTCGACATTTTTGATGCAAGTCAGAGAACAAAGGCCTGGGAACAGTCCAGCCCACTTCAGCGACACATTGTGAAACATAGTGTCGAGCGATTAAGCTGTGGGTGTCAATTAGAGATGAACTGTATTGACGGAGGCCGGTGGTGCAGTAACAGGGATTTGTTAAAACATTCACATATGCATGGGCGTGTGCCCACAAACACACACAGAATGCTGTATCCGTTTTGCCCGTTCTCTCCATAGACATACAAAGAAATGCATGCAATCTTTTGACATTTAAACAAATACCCAGCTTATTTGATTAGATACTCAACTGAGATTTCTTTCCTTTGAGCCAAGGGAATGTCAATTACTACATTTTAACTTGGTTGATTTTCCATTTAAATTTTGTTGAATTTATTTTAGCATTTTTTATCTAAAGATAACATCACAGAATAAGGGTTAGCTGTTGTAATAAAATCAGTGTCCGCCTCTAAAACAACCTGAACTGTCTCCACCTTAGATTCTTTAGACTCTGGGCAGTACTAACTACTGGCTCCAAAAACTACAAGATTGAAAGATTAAGCCTTCACGATAGGCAGTAGGGGGGCATTGTTTTGTCATTTCTTCATTTTCGTCATCTGTGTTAAAGTCGTTAATAGACCACAAACAAACCCTGCACCACATTCTCTGTGTGTGAGTACAAAGAAAATTCATCCTCTGACAAAAAGCCAGCTTGATCATATGCATGTATGCAGAGTTAATTTTAGATAATGGCCACAGGCATAAATCACCACTGGGAGAAAGATAAGCCTCATACCTGCAGAGCTGGATGAGGAGGAAAAAAAGAAAAAAAAAAATCAAGAAATGTCATTTAACCCAGCATGATACTGCAAAACACATATTTCCAGGAGAAACCGCAAAAAAACACCCTAATCAATACCATTTATCAGTGGCAACAGTGGTAACTATATGCAAACCACTATCTGGGAAGCGAACCATTTCTTAAAGTACTGCCAGATGTGAAGGCTGGGGGCCAAGTTTGATAGAAAAATGAAACAGCTGTCATATTTTTAAGAATACCCTGATTATGACTATGAGGACACTGATGAGACAGACATTACAGAGCTCCAAAAGTGACAAGGCTCCAAGAGATTTGGATGACCTTGAAAACAAGTTTTTTTTTTTTCCTCAAATGAAACCCCAAGTTAGTTTTCTATACAGACAACAGTGGGTAATAAGTTCATACTTCAATGGCAATTTGTTGAAGTTGCAACATTTCTTTGTGTCTTACTGTCATTTTTAACCTTTTTTCTCAGCCTCAGTTTTACCCTCTCTCTGAATACACACACACACTACACACCCTCTTGCTGAGCAGCAGGAACATTCCTTGCATCAGCCAGAATCCCATATTAGTGTATCAGCAGTGTCTGCAAGAAATAACAGACTGGGAAAAAAGGGATGGTGAAGGTATTCAAGCACTGTAAGCTAATGAAAGCCATTTTTAAACGCTCCGATAATGGTGCTGGAGTGCAAATGTGCTATAATGAAGTATTATACCACTGCGTAGTATAAAAACACACAAGTGTTTCATCAATAAACAAGCTGGAAGCACATCTGCAGCACAACAGTAGATAATACACCACGAGAAAGCCCTAAATAATGGTTAGCATTGTTAGCGTGTCGTGTGGCGTACTATTTTGAGCTGTAGAGCCTAGCGGGTGTGAGTTGTGGCAGGCTTTCACTTATGGTGCAGTATACGTGTCTAAAATCAATCAACAATCCAACAAACACAGGAAGATGCAGAAAATTGCGATAATTAACAAAACAAATGTAAACTTAAGAAACAACACAAAAGTACGTTAGCGATTTCCATGTTGCTGCTTCACACCCCATGTGAACGAATAGTACAAAGGTTAATGACAGACTGTCTGCTCCTCCCTGAGAAGGCTGACAACTTGGAAGATCACAGCAGATACACAGCGTCAGCTGACAACTCTGTATAGATGGAAAAACATACACACACACACCTCCAACAGTTATGCGGACGCACAGGTTTACCCTTTCATCAGTGCATCCTAGGTAACGAAGGAAGGTGGTATGTATAGGGGAGAAAGACATGTGGACAAAGTGAGGAAGGGAAGCAAGAAAGAAAGGATGGAAGGACCAACACAGCTGCTCA